TTTATATGAATTAAAATTACTTTACTTTTATTCGTTCTTTAACAAATATCTGTCTAATTGTGCGAGAGGTAATTAGAAGGAATCAAAATTATTATTGCTACATAATCTTAGCAATTTTCAAATAAAATTTTTTTTATTTAATGCTGGAATTAAATGCTGGAACCTATCGAAAATGGAATTTCTATCGGATAAAATTTCAAACCTTTCTCATTATTCGAGATTCGTTACAGGAAAATAAATATTCAAATTACACCATCCACCAGAGCTCCATTATTTAGTTATAAACAATTACAGTACTAACATTAATCAAAATATAACTCAAGTTAGCACGATTCAATTCTTAATTAAATACTATCAAATTTTACATTAATATAGATATAAATAACTAAATACTTCTAAATCTTGAAACAAGTTTAAGATTAAATTATACAGCAAAATTAATATAAAATTTAATATTGATTAAACAAATCGTGTCAATTCCAAATGAAATAGTCACTAAAAAATATTAATCCTTTCAGGAGTACGTAATAATTATTAAAAAATTTGTGTCCATAGTTATAATTACATTTCTCGGAGATACGAACCGTGGTGGCGCTAGTGAGTTAAGCGGCAACTCGTCTTAAGGCTGTCTTAAACCGTTCACTCGTGAAAGGGTTAACCCTTTGCACTGGAGAGGCGCCTCTTAGTCGCCATTTGATCAGATTCTAAAGATGGATATTAATTAATATATCAAATTTACAATTACACAACGATGCATGGAATATCGAAATAAAATAATTCCACGTCTTAATTTCTATACGATTTTTTATTTCCGTTTTAAAATTATCGTCGACTTTATGGCAGAAAATCTTCGAATTACTATTTTCCTGTAACGAAAAAATCGTCGAGTGCAAAGGGTTAATTCAACCATAAGTTAATATTTCCAATTAATTACATTTTCAACTGCAAATATAAAACTGCTTCCAAATGTCAATTACCAGCGAAAGTATTCAGTATGTCAAAGGATAAATAAGATAATAAATTGCATGTCCCAGGGACATTAGAACAGCCGTTCGAGCATCAAGCTGTAAATACGTGTGGTCTAAACGCAGCTGTGGTTGCACGTGTTTTCACGTGGCAATACAATCTAGTCGCGTGCGCATAAATGGCCCCCATAACGTCAAATAAATCGCGAATACCACGTGTCGGAAATAGTAGCAGGGATGAAGCGTTTATTCGAGCAAATGCTTTTGCAGTATTTCTTTTTTCTACCCAACCAACCGTTTTATGCTCTGTCAACCCGATGATAATAAGAGAATCGATACAACTAACGAAATTATGGAGTTTCATAAACGAAGATTAAACGAATGTCATTTAATCTTCGTTTTCTAAAGCGTGCACTTTCGCCATTTTGCAAAGGATCATTCTGGTGCAAATAGAATACAAAATGGCACACCTCATGTTATATTCTATGTATTATTAGTGGAGAATTTTCAACATTCTTTTGTTTGGTATTTTCAAAGGGTTTTGGGTTCGTGTGTACTTTATGTTGGATTTATGCGATACAAAATTATGATAAAATTGATAATGACATAATAAAATTGTAATCAAAAATGATCTATTGAAATAAGATATAGTTTCACCTAAATGCAACATAAAATTATGGTTTAAAATATTTTTGTTCCTTTAGTAAGGATTTGATAGTGTTAATATTGTTAATAATTTAATAATAGCAGTATAGACTAACGATAAAAAGAAATAAGAGACGAATTAATAAATTATGTCAATAATGTAGGATACCAAAAGAAATCGCGAATCGGCTATTGCCAACAAAAACAAATTGTAAACCGATCGATATCTTCTAGAAGCAAATCGAAAAGTTATTCTATATAACAAAATTAAGTTGCGTGACTCCTCTACGGGGAGGTGAAGCGTAGGTTAAGGAAAGCATAAAAGCGTGGTCCTTGACAACCAAAACAGAGTCCTTGGAAATCGGTTGTGACCAGCACAAG